AACCTCTACTAGTTAAGTAACCATGAGCAACATGGATAATAAGTCATAACTTACTTCTCAATTTGCAGAAAAGTCTCATTGTGATCAAATATGAGTATTTGAGTTCTACCTGAATGTGTAATTACAACTGTGGTGCACAATGCACTTTCTGGAAATTGATCCAAAAATGAAAGAACTGTGGATGCTGGAAATCAGAAACAAAAACAAAAACAAAAACAAAAACTGCTGGTAAAACTCAGCTGGTCTGGCACAGACACAAAGCAGTTGGGAACACTACTTCCTAGGTAGTTCCCAAGATCAAAGCCAACTTGCCTCCACTCCAGTTTGATTGGACTTATCATCAGACAGCTCAGAACCAATGCACTATCTGTAGATTCTATTACAAGTGGAGCAGATGTTTGGAGGGTATGCAAGATGTTTGGAGGTTTCTGCACTCTCTCCAACACCTAAACTTTGTTAGGAGCCTGCAGAAGCAAACTATCTTCAGTGTGTTCCCAAGTGAACATTCTCCATTTTGGTCAGTCACAAGCTAAGGACTCCCATGTTGAATGGGCTATGTTTTATCCCTTTGGGGATATAGCTATTACAATTCCACTGCCCGCTTAGCAGTCTCCTGCCTCCACAGAGTTCAGAGTAGACGTTTCAGATGTCTGAAATCAAGCATACAAATATGTTCTAGTTTTGTGTTACTAGTACCTCAGTGCAAGGCTTGTTGGCTTGGGAGAAGGCACTGTTTTGGACTGCATTTCTTGCCAGAGGTCAGAGGATATTAAAAATATCACATTGGTTGAGCCTCTCCTTGCTTTGGAGGTGCCTGTTTAAATTGTCCAAATCTCCAAAGTATGTAGGAGTGGGGAGATCACAACCTTATTCTCAGGTTTGAGATCCTGGTCTTCAAATATTATATTTCCCATTCAGGCAAAAGGCAAGCCAGCACATTTACAGACCATGATAAAATTTTGTCCAAAATGCAAAGAACAGCAGAAATGGCATTTCAAAATCATATAAGAACAAGGTGGAGAAACAGGCAATTCATCCCCTCAAGCCTGTTCCAACATTTAATATGATCATGGCTGATGTCATCTCAGGTTCAACTCCATTTTCTTGCTGCTCTCCATAATCTTTCAATCCACTACTCTTTGAAGATCAAAGTCTTCCTTAAGCTTACTCAATGCCCAACAACCACCACAGTTTGGGGTCATGAATTCTACAGATTCATGACCCTTCAAAAGAAGTAACTTCTCCTCATCGGTTTTAAATCTAACTTCTTTTCCTAACACTATGACCTCTCACTCTAGATTGCCTCATGAGGAGCCATCCTTTCTATGTGGACTTTGTCAATCCTCTTTGGCATCTTAGATCTCAAGTCAGTCTTCCAAACTCCAGAGACTTTAGGCTTAAACTGCTCAATCTCTCTTCATAAGACAAACCCCGTATCTCTGGAAACAAACTGCCTCCAATGCAACTACATCTCTCATAAGTAAGGGGACCAAAATTATACACAATACTTCAGATGCAGTCTCCCTAATGCCTTGCACAGTTGCAGTAATACTTCCCTATTTTAAGGTTTTGGAGTAGATCTGTAGCTCAGGTTGTGGGTGTTGAGGTTGGTGGGCTCGCCGAGCTGGTTTGTTGTTCCGCAGACGTTTCGTTACCATGCTTGCAGCCTCTGATGAAGTGTCGGTGTGTTTTCCCACCTGATTTTTAAACTCTGGGGTCTGTTGCGATGGATTGCCTCACTTCCGAGTTTCCTCCGTAGTGGAATATGGGGTTGAGTTCAACGTGTTTATTAATAGCACGCTTAGTGGAGTGCCATGTTTCCAGGAATTCTCGTGCTTGTCTCTGCCTAGCCTGTCCCAGGATCTTGGTGTTGTCCCAGTCGAAGTCGTGGTTCTCCTTGTCCATGTGGATTGAGATGAGTAAGTATTGATAGTGTCTTTTTGTAGCCAGTTGGCGTTCATGTACTCTTGTAGTTAGTTTCCTTCCTGTTTGTCCGATGTAGTGTTTCTCGCAGTCTCTGCAGGGGATTTTGTAGATGACATTGGTCCTGTCCATGGCGGGGAGTGGGTCTTTAGTTCGGGTGAGCACTTGTCGTAGGGTTGATGTGGGCTTGGTGTGCCACTCTGATGCCCAGCGGTCGTAGAAGTCTTGTGGTGAGTTCTGACGTGTTCCTGATGTAGGGTAGTGTGATGAGTGTGTCGGGGCGTGTAGAATCTTTCTGATGTTGTTCCTGTAGGCATCTCCTGACCAAGTTCTTTGGATATCCATTATCCTTGAATACTTGGAAGAGGTATTCCTCCTCCTCTTGGCGTAGTTCTATGTTGCTGCAGTGTGTTGTTGCCTTTTTAAATAGGGTTCACACGCAGCTTCGTTTGTGTGTGCTGGGGTGGTTACTATTGAAGTGTGTGTGGCTTTTCGGTGTACTGTCGTTTGCAGGTCCCCATTTGTCTTGCGCTCTACCATGACGTCCAGGAATGGGAGTTGTTTGTTCTTCTGCTCCTATTTGGTGAATTTTATTCCGGTGAGGGTGTTGTTTATGAGTTTGTGTCTCTCTTCTAATTTGGTCCGTTTAATGATGTCAAAGGTGTCGTCTACATAGCGTATCATAGTTCAGCTTGGATTTGCAGAAGGGCGGTCCTTTCCAGTCTTTGCACCACTGCTTCTGCTATGAGTCCGGAGATAGGCGATCCCATGGGTGTCCCGTTGATTTGCTCGTATGTTTGGCCGTTGAAGGTGAAGTGGGTGGTCAGGCATATGTCCAGTATATAGTTCTCCTTGGAGATGGTTTCACTGGGGTCGTGTTCTTGTTCAAGTAGTGTTGTCATTGTTTCCCTTGCTAGTGGTATGTCTATTGATCTGAATAGGGCGGTGACATCAAATTATATCATGGTCTCTTCGTCCTCTATCTTTATGTCTTTGACGGAGTTGAGGAATTCTTGGGCTGAGTGGATGGAGTGGGGTGATTTGTTGACTAGGTGCTGGAGTCTTCTTTGTAGTTCCCTGGCTAATCTGTGCGATGGAGTGCCTGGTAGGGAGACGATGGGTCTGAGGGGGACTTCCGGCTTGTGCACTTTAGGGACGCCGTAGAATCGGGGTGTGTTGGTTCCTTCAGGTTTTATTCTTAGGAAGTCTGTTTTGTTGATCTGTCCTGTTTGAGTCTTTGATGCATGTATAGGATTTTGTTGCCTAGTTGTGGTGTCGGGTCTGTTTGTACTGGTCGGTATGTGTTCTCGTCGGCGAGCAGTGCTTGTGCTTTAGAGATGTAGTCCTTTTTATTCATTATCCCTGTCATGCGCCCTTTGTCTGCAGGTAGTATAGTGATGTTCTTGT